AGTATATCAAAGAGTCCCCCGCTAAAACATGCGACTTAGACCCAATACCCACTTCATTGTTAGTTACGTGCATAGAAGATCTCGCACCATATGTTACTCGTTTTATTAATATGTCACTCACCACTGGAATCGTACCTGATCTTTTCAAACAAGCCGTTGTAAAACCTTTACTTAAAAAACAAGGTCTTGATGAAAATGCCAGTTTCCAATCCGAACTTGTTATAAAAAATCCTGGAGAAAATCGTTTCGTGTCAAGTTCAACAACATCTAAAGGCCAATGACATGGAAGAACCTTTTCAATCTGCTTATAAAAGGCACCACAGTACGGAAACCGCTCTTTTAAAGGTATCATCAGATGTTTTAAATGAAATCGATAATAAAAAGGTCTGTGTTTTGGTTCTGCTTGATTTGTCAGCGGTGTTCGATACCATCGACCACGAAATTTTACTAGAGAGATTGGAAAAGTCATTTTTACTATCAGGTACTGTTCTAATGTGGTTTAAATCATATCTAAAAAAATAGATTTATGTCAGTGAAAATTGGCAATGATGTGTCAGATAGGTTACCTCTAAAGAAGAGTTCCTCAGGGTTCGGTCCTTGGTCCTGTCATCTTTACAATGTACACGCAAAGTCTGTCATCAATAATTTCTTTATATGCCCTCAATTACCATCTTTATGCAGAAGATACACTGCTGTATGGATTCACTACAACTGACAATGTACACAATCTCATAGATAGAATCGCCAGATGTTTCAATGCTATAAGAAAATGGATGTTCAAGAACAAATTAAAATTAAACGAGGATAAGACCGAAATATTATTTCTTCGTAGCAGCGCATGCAATGAAATCGAGAATATCAGAATAAACATCAATGGCTACGAAATATCAGCCCAAACTAAAATAAGAAATTTAGGTGTGGTGCTAAATCAAGATATGTCAATGAAATACCATGTATCCAATCTTTATAAAAATCTATATCTCCAATTGAAGAAAATAGGGAGCATTAGAAAATATTATCTGTTGGTGTCACCAAAACTTTAATAACATCACTTATATTGTCAAGGATTGATTATTGCAATTCCTTACTGGCTGGTGTACCTGATGAACAGTTACAACAACTACAAAGAGTACAAAATATTGCTGCCAAAATAATTACTAAAAAAACTAAAGCATGATCATTTGATTCCTATTTTAAAAGCATTGCACTGGCTCCCGGTGAAAGAGCGTATCATATATAAAATATGTTTAACTTGCTACAAGTGCTTAAATGATTTATCACCGGACTATCTACAACCGTTTTAACACCCTATGTGCCTCCTAGAAGGCTCAGATCAAGTGACAAAACAAACCTTGTTAAGCCTAAAATAAATTACAAATCATAACCAACGCTTTTTTTCATATTTTGCCCCACTTGTTTGGAATAGGCTTCCAAAAACTATCAGAGAAGCAGAAAATCTAGAAATTTTAAAGAAGAAACTAAAAGCATTTCTATTTTCATCATATTTCGATTAGACAGAATCCATCCAAGCTGTAGATCGTTGTGAGTTTGTATGTGCGCATGTGCATATTATGTACGTATGTGTGCATGTCTGTATGTATGTGTGTGTGGTGCGTGCGTGAGTGAATATGTGTTTGCACGAGTATGTAACACTATGTACCTTTAAAATTGATTTGTAAATCCATAATATGTATCATGTTAAGCGCATAGAGCATTGCATAAGTGGATATGCGCTATATAAATGCAATCCATTATTATTATTAGCTTTTGAGGTCTGCATAGAGTGTAGTTCCTCCTAAAGAGTGTGATAAGGTCGGCGATACCAGTATATGAATACAATGTCATTATCACACATGAAGCCGACGGCGTCATTGAAAAGCTCTTCTGTCCTGCGTGTAGAGGATGTAGGTTCGATTCCCGAGTGTGGAAATTACAGTAGAAATTTTTCAAGACAACCACGCATAGTCAAGGAGAAAAGTGTTTCCATTAGATAGATGAACGTCTTGAACAGTGTCATACTAATACATTTTAAAAATACTTTTGGACCAGTGTACTGGTGGTCGTAAGAGCAGGTTGGACCAAACTGTGTCGCATCGAACACCTCCGTCTGTCTGCTAGGATGCTTTGTTCCGCTTTATCTACATGTATGTCGGCTGATGGACTGGGTCAAAAAACACATCCTCTTAATGAAGGAATTAAATCATTTCGAGAGGGGAGTAAACCACTTACAACCAACCAACTAATCAACCAACCAACCGACCAACCAACCAACCAACCAATCAATCAACCAACCAACCAACCAACCAACCAACCAACCAACCAATCAATCAACCAACCAACCAACCAACCAACCAACCAACCAACCAACCAACCAACCAACCAATCCATCAATCAACCAATCAGTCAATCAATCAATCAATCGGTTAATCGATCAACCAATCAAAGAAGCGCACCACACATTCTCCTTATCGTATCAATGACCAGACTGGTAACCTTGCGGCCCCTTGAAATACCTCGCTGCCCCCGACAGGAAGTGATGGTCCGCACCCGCTCCAGAATAGGGCTCTTTGTCTGTCTCTCTGTCTGTCTTTTTCTCTTGTTCTGCGTCTGTCAGTCTATTTGTTTCTTTCTACGTGTTTCTGTCTGTCTTAGTTTCTCTCTTTGTCCCTACCTCTCCCTCTGCCTTCTTTGCCTCTTCTTCTCCCCCCCCCCTTTCTTTTTCTCTGTCCCCACACTCTCTCTACTTCTGTCTATCTTTGTCACCGTCTCTGTCTCT